TTATCTCAAATCCTCCTAATTTCTATCATTTGTATCGTGGCTCGTGGGGGCACAGTCCTATCGGTAAAAGAGAAACTCGGATGAGTTCCACCACGGAATATATATATATATGTGTGTGTGTGTTACTGGGGAAAGCATTTTAGGCAGGCAAGTTTTGTCATAAAGTGCTCGATATCAAAGGATAAGGATAGAGAGTTAATAGAATATGGAGAAACTTGTCACTAGTTATTTCAGTTCTGCCGACTTCGAAGTTTCGCGTGCGCATTGTTATATTGCCTTTACTCTTCAGGGCTACTGGCTTCTCTCTCTCTCTCTCTCTCTCTCTCTCTCTCTCTCTCTCTCTCTCTCTACATATATATATATATATATATGTGTGTGTGTATATATGTATGTATGTATGTATATTTGTGTGTGTGTTCCTTGCAATATATTGGGGGAACTGGTAGAAATTGAAAAATGTATGTATGAATATAAAAATATCTACATGAAAATTTAGCCATTGCATTAGTGATACATATAAATAATTTCAACAACAACTTTGGTCTCAAAAATCATATACTTATTAAAAGAGAAAAATAACTTACAAAGTTTATTGAGAGTGCAATTATTGAATATTGATAAAATGTTAACTTACTGGATTTTAAAAAAAATCTCCTTTCTTAAAAGGATTAACTCAAGATGATTAAAGTAAATAAATTAATAAATGAATAATTAAACTAAATCAAAATACATAGAATTAAGTAATAATTAGACAAATAAATAAAAATTCGACAATAATTTACTCACTTACATTTATTAGGCTATTACATCACTTAGTGTCTCCCATAGTTTATCTTTCATTATACAACAAGCTTTAAAAATATTTCAGAACATTTTAAAATTCAAAATGTGAAAATTTTATGATACTTTCCTCCATGTTACATCTCATAACATAAGTTACGAAATAATATATCGACTTTTACCTTAATAAAAATCAGGAAGGGACGAAACGCGTTGGTATAGAAAAAAATACCTTTTCCTACACACACACACAAACACGCACACCCACACACAAAGACACTCACATTATATATTCAATTGTATGGATATTAGTTTGTAACCCTGGGTTTCACGCTTTTATCAGATAAACTCATGAGACAAGGGTTTGTCCAATGATCGCAAAAGCGTGAATTCCATGGTTATAAACTTATATCCATACAACTATCACAGATATCGTGCATTTTCCACCAAGTACCCGCATATAATATAATATATATATATATATATATATATATATATATATATATATATATATATATAGAGAGAGAGAGAGAGAGAGAGAGAGGTGATAAAGAAAAAGTAAAACCAAATCGTACTGTTACACACACACACATACATGTATGTATGTATGTTTGTTTAAGTACGTGACTGAGAGAAAGAATATATATATATATATATATATATATATATATATATATATATATATATATATATATACATACATATATATATATATATATATGCGCGAGGTCTATCCAGTAAGTTAGCACCCATTTTCGAAACCTTCAGACAATCTTGGTGTAACTTGCTAATCCATCAGAGTGAAACTCATTGTTCATATTTGAACAGATACTCTCGCGCGGAGTTACTCAGTCGGTCCCGCGACGTCATTGAATGTGCGGCTTACTGTGTTACCGTATATCATATCAAGGCGTCTATCCATTCTTTACGTTTCGTGTCGAGATTTTCTTATGCAACGTCTTTTTAATAAAGAGAGACGTAAGGAGAGAGAGTGAGAGAGAGAGAGAGAGTGCGATGGTGTGTATGTTATTGTGTCCGTGTGAGCGTGTGAATAAAAATAAAATTGTTACTTCTTTCTATAAGCATTATAATGACAAAGTTGGCAGAGACGGATTCCCAGAGACAATCAGAAATTCTTTCCGATCAGCAATCAGGCGAAAGGCCACGAAATATCGGAATGTGATCTAGGTGCATTAACCGAACAATTCGTTGGATCCTGCCCAATTTCTTCCGCACCTTCTGCTGTCGTTTGACTTCCGCAAATACTCAACATATAACGGAGAGGAAACTGGATGAAGTATTAGGAGTGCTCATGCCAATTTCAGCCTGACATTTGGCTCTTGGATGGGGTTGATACCCACAACCTGATTATATCCGGTTTTGATGGTTCCAAACAGGGACAGTGTTATATCAAGTTTACTACATCATTGACCAATAAATAAAATTGCTATTATAGAAGATAGAACATTCTAGACGTATAAAGGGAAATTACGTTTCCCATGAAAAATATATAAAGAATCCTATAGCAAGCAGTATGGAAAAGAAAAAAAATCTAGTCACTATTTAACATTTGGCTACCCGTGATGCAATAGTAAGCAATTTCGACTTTTGGTTTTGGACATCGTCATGTTGGAGAATCCACAATAAAATCCCTTGTTTAGAAAAAATGCTTATTTTCTATCTCATTGTGATGTTCAAATGAGACAATTACTCACTATAG